CCCGAACCGCGTTGCAAACTGTTGCATCAGACTGCAAGCAGCCGGCTGGGCCGCCAGGGTTTCTAGGAAGATAGGAAGGGTTTGAGATGCCCTGTGGTCACCTGGGAGCGTTCGCCGTCACTGTTTACACCCCAGTGAAAGGAGCCCCAGAAACCTGCAGCTTGCTCCAGTCGGGAGGGAGGGGGCCGTGGCCGCAGGTGGAGCTGGCAGAGCCCCGGGCTGGACTAACTGCACCGCTTTAGTAATGACAAAGGCCCTGAAGGAAGGAGCCGGGCTTGATTTCCCTGCCCAAGTACAAGGATGCCCCCGAGGAATTTCTCACTCTGTGAAAGTGCAAAACGAATTTCCCCCAGATGAGCGCTGTTGCTGGTTCCCAAAAGGGTTTGGAACAAACCCAACAGGAATGTTCAGTGGTTTCCAAATGTCTTCCCTCACAGCAGCTGGACACACAGCCTTCGCTCGGGACAACGCTGGCCACTAGGAACTTTATGGTGGGTGCACACACGGCCCTCCATCGTTTACAAACAGGCCCCCCTGTCATGAGAAATGGGATCCAGCCAGGGACTAATTTGTCCTCCCTCTTCCTTTCGGGGTCACACCGGCAAAGGGAGGAAGAAAACAAACTCTAGCTTGCTCTAGCTAGGCAGGTTGGGATTGTGGGATGTGTGTGTAGAATATTCCAGAAGAATGAAAATTGAATGGAAGCCTACTTTCTAAAGGAGTTTTCTTGGACACAATCTGACTTCTTCAATCGAATGCTCTCTTCTTGGGACTGGATCAAGATCATTCCATGTTAATGGGCTTTCCAGAATGATGAACACTGGCCATTTACCTTAAACATTCAGTCTTTTTTCGGGTGTTGATGGTGTAGATCTATTCCATTTGAGGAATTTTGAGAGCGAAAACAGGCCCAGTGTTCTTCCTTGCTCTCAGTCTTATGAATCACTCAATCCCAAGATTCCATAAAAAAAAAGACCTCAAAGCCTCATAAATATTATCTGACGTGTCCCTTGCCAGACAGTCAGCGTTGTTTGTTTAAGGCAGTATTTCCCTCGGAGCATATTGTGTCACACTGGGATTTTCATATAACAGATGCTCTATAAATGTGGCCTGAGCTATTTTGGTCACTGTCCACCATGCTCTTAGGAGCTGAAGGAAGGACAACCGGAAACCGATGGGAAGGGTGTCCGCAACCCAGGAGCTGGAACATTCCCGAGTCCTGCTTCTGAGAGTCTGGTTGCTGTGTGTATCAAGTCCACCTTGACTCAGAGGCGCCCTATGGGTTCTTTAGGCTGTCACTTTTATGGGAACAGATCTCCCAGGTCTTTTTAAAAAAAAATCATTTTATTGGGGGCTCATACAACTCTTACCATAATCCATACATACATCAATTGTATAAAGCGCATTTGTACATTCGTTACCCTCATCATTCTCAAAATATTTGCTCTCCACTTAAGCCCCTGGCATCAGCTCGATCCCCCAGGGCTTTTCTCCCAAGGAGTGGCTCGTGGGTTCAAACCGCTGACCTTTCGGTGGGCAGCCAAGCCTTAGTATCAGGCCTCAGACCTTCTCCTGGAGGGCCGGCCAAGGAAGTATTTGCAAGGTGAGGTCCTGGGATGAGGTGTGTGGCCCTAGGGAGTTTGTAGGAGCTGAGAAAATGCTTCCTATGCCTGACACTTCTTCCCAGATGGGAGTAGGGAGTCCCGGACTATTGCAGTGTCTTGGCCAGGCAGGAAAAGGTGGGAGCCTGAGGTCAGGCGCCCTATGGGAACAGAGGCAGGGAGCCCACGGGGAGGGTGTGTGTGTGAGGGGCAGAGACGTCTCTTTCATCTGCTGCACCCCTGGTACTTACCTGTGTGAGTTCTCTCTGGGTGTTTGTCAAATGAATGCACAGGAGGCCATGGGTTGTGCGGGAGGTGGTGCTCCTTTGTGATGGGTGATAGGGGAATTCTACCAGTTGAAAGGCATAGGGCAGTTGGGTCAGGCCTGAGAAGTGTCAGCAGCTCCCCTTAGCCTTGGCAGTTAATCTCTTTCACCCAGCCTGGTGAGAGCAAGGGACACAGTGGTTAAGCACTTGGGCATTCACCCCCTCAGCCGCTGCTCCGTGGGAGAAGGATGAGGCAGTCTGTTCCCATAGATATAACCCTGATGGGACAGCTCTGATCTGCCCCATAGGGCTCCGATGAGTCAGAGGTGACTGTATGGCAGTGGAGTTTTGTTTTGGTGTGACATCATCAACTATTGCCTCACCTTGACTGAATTCCCAGAGCAAACTTCTGGAAAAGCAAGGCGTCTGAGGGAGAGCGTATGGCTGGAAAATCCCCCAGAAGCTATACTTTCAAGCCATAAGCCAAGTGGTGGCCCAGATGGTTAGACAACGCAGACACACAGGAAAAGCATGATTCTTTCCCCACCTGGAGTGGCTGCTCACAGACTGGAGACACTCTATGGAGTCCAGACGCAGACAAAGCTCCTGTTCTAAGGGACTTCTGATGGAAATTCCTTGTGGAAAGTCTGCCTTTGAAATGTTTAAGGCACCTCATTTAATCCTCATTTCCATTTCAAGTCAGTCCCTCCTTCCTGAGAATACTACCACATTTTAAGTTTGTAGATGGCCTTCTTTCGGGTTTTCCCCCCCTCTTTTTTTGGGGGCCACTTATGTGCCAACTGAAAGGGTGGAGAGAGCCACTCATTTTCAAATAAAACACAAATAGCCAAGCAAGGCTGGCTGAAAGTAAAAACCACAGAAGGGAATTCTTTATTTTTCTATGGGGTTTTTCAGATTTTCCTAGAACCGGCTTTCCTTCCTTGGAGTCCAGACATCGAAAGTGAGTGGACCTCTCGGATGCTCTCTTCCAAGCCGAAGCTTAAAGGCCTCATTCCTTCTTGCCTCTCATTGGAGCTTTAGGGTTTATCTTTTTAAAAAATATATTTATTTTTTAGATAGTTGGGTCTCATGTTGCCGCTTAGAACGAGATAAGGGAGCGCCCAATTCACATGTGTTTTTACTAAGCACTCTTTAATAAAAGTGATTTTTTGGGGGGTGGGGAGTGGGGCTTTTTTTTTCATGTGTAATTTTCACAGTTTTGTCTCTTACTTCTGTTGGGCGAGCCCGGGGTGGCGGGGAGCACTCGCAGGTGGCCCAGCTGGGCGGCTTCCCAGTGCGGTGACCTCGTGTGTCAGCTGGGAAGAGTGACGCCTACTGCTCAGCGTTGTCCTGGGAACGAATGGGTCGGGACCATAGACCCTGCACAATGCCCGCACAAAAACAAGCCCATCATACACCGGACCGATTACGGAAATTGTGCTGTTCCTCCTGCCGTAAGCAGCGCTTCGCTCGATTTTTGGAAGGGGGAAAGACAAAACACAAAACAAGAATGGTCTATCCCAAGCGGGTGGGTTCTCTATATTTTGAATCCTTAAAGGGCCGGCCAGAGGGGGACACAAGGGCGAGTCGGACTTGTAAACATCTGGGCCTTTTTATGCGATGGAGTCAGCAGTGCAGGGGTCGAGGAAGCCCCAAAGGTGGGCGACAGGCACCCCGGAGGAGGGGAAAGGCAGGTGCAGGGCTGCGGAGAGCGGCCATAGCGGCGCGGGCCTGGGGCACCGAGAGGCGCCGGCTCCGCGGGCCGGCGGCGTGGGGCCGAGGCGCGTGCGGCAGCGCCCTCTGCCGGCCTCGTGGGGCAGGCGGACAACCTCGCCGGCGGGCGGGCGCCGCATCCCTGCCGCTGCTCCGCCCCCGCCCCATCCTGTCCAAGGATCGTGCAGTCCCGTCCCCGAATGGGATTCCAGGAGACCTCTCCCGACCCGACGCCTGCGGGGCCATCAAGGGTGGTGCCCGCCATTCACCTGGGAACGAGGCTGCAGGAGCTCCCTCCAATCTCTGCAGGGACGACACGTTTTGGGAGGCAGGGTGCTGAACCGCGGGTTCTGCGGACGGCGAGGAGCTCCGGGTTCGCTTTTGCCACTTCCATTTTCTAGCCAGGTGACCTTGGGCAAGGGCCTTCATCTCTATGCGCTCGAGTCTTCTCGTCTTCATTTAAGATGGAGAAAAGAATCCCGACTTCCTGCGTTGTCATCTTCCTGGCCTCAGTTCCTAGGACCGGGCAGCCTGGGCTGTTATTCTGGCCTGGCCATCGGCTAGCTGTGTGACCTGGGGCAGGTCGCCTAACCTTTCTGTGCCCCAGGCGTCCTGCAAAACAGGGAGGATAATAATAGTACTTACCCCCGAAGACTGTTGTCTGCAAAGCGCTACACGCAAGTGCCTGGCACCGAGAAAGCGCTCAATAAATGGTGGCTATTATGGTTGCTGCAGTTGCCGTTATTATATTGTCCTTAAAAGCGCTGAGCCGAGCTCGAGCTGGCGACTATTATTAGGCGCTTTCCTGGGTCCGGCTGTCGCTTTCCCGGCATTGTTAAAATCCCTATCCTGCGCTCACGTCCTAAGCAGAAGCCCAAGGCCAGCCGGCCTCGGCGAGTTTGGCAACTCGAGATTCCCCGGGTGGAGGGCCAAGGCCGCGGCCGTGGGCTGCGAAAGCCGGACCTCCCGGAGGAAGCCCGCGCCGCCGCCGCGGGCGCCTCCATGAGCGCGCGCCGGAGCCGCAGTGACGTCGCCGTCCCGCGGGCTGCGGGGCGGAGCGGTGCAGGGAGGCGCCGCCTGCACTCGCGGGGAGGCCCGGGTGCCGCGAGGGCCGGGGTGGCCCGGCTGTCTGCACCCGGCGTCCCGAGCCGCGCCCCAGTCGCCGGCGCTGCCCTGCTCTGGGCGGCGGCCGCCACCCAAGGGTGGTGGGAAGGCACATTGGCCTAGGTCGGCTTTCGCGGCCGGCCTGCGCGGGGCGCACGCGGGTCCCCCTGCAGCCCCGCGCGGAGATACGAGAGGCCACCGCCGGAGTGCTTGGCTCCCGGTGCCCGCCCAGGGGATACGGGCCGACCTCCCAGAGGCCGCTCTGCCTGCACGGTCCTTCTGCTCCCTGTCCTCACCTCTCCGAACCCGTCCCAGCCCCATTCGTCTTCCCGCAGCAACGGACTTCGTGTCCTCGCTCTTCTCTCCGTGGTTCATCCTCACCCATAGGAGTCGCCGCCCACTCCCAGTTCTCTGCAGCCCCTGACTTGGGGCTGAGCTGCAGCGGCACCCATCGCACCGCCTGCTGGACAGTTCCACTTGGCCAGCCCTGCACCCACCTCAAACTCACCACTTAGGGTAGCCCCCACCCAGTGATAATACACCCCTCCCCCCTTCAACCTGGTCTCTTGCAAGTCCCTCCTGAATACTTCTCTAGCCACCCTCGCCCTTGCGCCCCTCCTTTTTCCCGGGTCTCTATCCCAATGCCAGCCTCTGACGACTGATATATTCCTGGCTTACAGGATTTCTCCTTGTCTGCACGCCTGCCACCCTCAACCCCTTCCTTCACACATAAACCCTATGCCATCCAGTGACTTCCTTTACACAGCAAGGACCTTTACAGGAGCCTCATCTTTCTGCCTGCAGGTCGCTGGGGGTGGGAGTGGGGTTGTTGAATGGCTGACCTTGGGTTAACAGCCCAACCCCCAGCGGCACGAGGCTCCCTGTACTTAGTGAACTATTTACAACTCTCCTTCACAGCCTCCCTTGGCTGAAGGCTGCCGATTGGGGCTCCTGCCAGCCCCGCCCCCAATCATCCTCTCCCAACGCCCTCTCCCCAATCTTCCTGGACCCCACTCCTCCTCCACCGTTTTCTCTCATACACCTTATGATGGAGTCCTAGGGTTGGACTTCACGTGACAGGGGTGGGGGGAACGGGCAACACTATTGAAAGTCTCTATGTGTCTTCATGGGATCTCTGGTGGCATAGTGGTTATGCATTGGGCTACTAACCACAAGGTCAGCTGTTCAATACCATCAGCTACTCCTCTGGAGAAAGATGAGGCTTTTCACTCCAGGAAAGAATGGCAGCGTGGGCCCTGCCCAGGGGATTGACAGCTTCTCCCCATACCTATTCAACAGCTTTCTCTTACTTCACTCCTCCTCCCAGTGAGTCACCTCTTTGAGAAGGTCTTCCCTGAATGCACTCCCCAGATCACCTTGCGGCCCAACAAGACAGGCTATGCAGTGAACAATAGCACCAGTGAGCAGCCTGATTCTCAGAACCATCCTCACCTTCAGAAGGACAACACTGGCCCCAAGCCAAAGGGCAAATGGAAGTGGGGAGCCTCAGGAAGAAGTGGGGAGATGGCTACTACGTCAAAGGGAGGGCAACGGATGCCATTAAAACACATTGTTGATGAATTATTCTTTTAAAAATATTTTATTTTATTTTCCCAACAGTTTTATTGGCACATAATTTGGATACCCTATAATTGAATAGTTCAATCGTTCAGTCCTATCCAGGGCAATGGTACAATCACCACCACATCTATCTCAGAGCATTCCCTCCCCCCCACCCCCATGGTTGAGTCTGTGAATTATTGAATGAGAAACTGATTTGCTCTGTAAACTGTAACCCAAATCATAATAAAATATTCACACACACACATTCTCTTTTGCCACAAATAGTGGCTTCCGAGACCATTTCAACCCACAGCACCCTGACGTGTGGCAGAGTAAACTGCCCTCCACTGGGTCTTCAAGGGCTGCTTTGCAGAAGTGGTTTGCCAGGCCTTTCTTCTGAGGTACTTTTAAGCTTTTGGTTAGCAGTTGGCACCACCCAGGGACTCCTAATAGGTGGGCAAAGGACCTCTGGATCCCAAAGCCTCTGTATCTGCTGCTTTTGTCGTATTTGGGGAAGAGACCCACCCTTTAAGATGGTCTAAGAGGCTCTACGTGGTCTGCCCCAACCCACCGCCTCCTCCCCAATCCCTTCCTTCCTTTGCCCTGACATATTGACAGTTTCCATTCCCGTCCCGGGTCTTTGCATGGGCTGGGGCTGTTTCTCTGTCTTCATCTATTCAATCTTCCACTCTCATTCTAAGCAGAAGCCTTCCCTGATGGCTCACGGGCTGAGTCAGAGCCTTCATGGATAAGCCAAGCCAAGCCCAGACCCATTCCACCCATTCCAGTGCATTGCAAACCTGAAGGACAGAGCAGCAAGGCCCCAGAGGGTTTCCAAGGTCAATGGGTTGCATACAGCCCACTTGTCAATTAACACCTCAGGTCTTAACCAGGGCTCACTCTTCAAAACTCACTGCCATCAAGTCAATTCTGATTCATAGCAACCTCAAAACACAGGGTAGAATTGTCCCTGTCAATCTCCAAGACGGTAACGTTATGGGAGTAGAAAGCCTCCTCATTCTCCCACAGAGCAGCTGGTGGTTTCGAACTGCTGAACTTTTGGTTAACAGCCCAATGAATAGTCACTATGCCATCAGGGCTACACACACACACACACACACACACACACACACACACACACACACACAGTGCTGTCTAGAGAAACAAACCAATGATCCTCAATTAGGTACAAGAAAGAGCTTTCTATCAAGATGCAACCTTACAAGGAGAAGGCTCTCCAGGCCAGACCAACTCATGTCCACAGGTCTGATGCTAGCCACGCCCTCTGTAGACTCAAGTCGCTTCCGGCCAATGATGTCAAAAGGTGAAGCCAGGGCGAGGGGCTCACAGGCCAGTGGGGGCAGAGCCTTGTGGGTCCAAGGCCAGTGGGAGCATGAAGGGCCCTGACAGTTCTCAGGGTTGGTTGACCCACACGGGGCCTCCCCTGGAAGCAGGTACACAGTCCCAGCAAGCAGGAAGATAAAGGGGCAGTTCCCAGTGCTTCTCCCGTTTATACAAAAGGCCTCCCCCCTCCCAAGGAGGTGTCATCAGGCCACCATTTGATCAAAAGGTTGGTCTCCACCCTACAGCATCACACAAATTCCAGTTGACATAAACTCTAACTGCCACACAGAGTAGCACCATTCCCACCCGTTTATTTGAAGCCCTCCCCTAGCCTGCCTCCACTCGTCTAACCTGAAGATTTGCCATATTTTCTTCAGATCTTTTTTTGTGAAGACCTAAAACTTCAGATCTAGACAGGTACCTTTAAGCGTATTGGTGCTGCTTTGCCTTTAAGGAATTCCTTACCCGTAGTTTGGCTTTA